GAGGTGGCATACAGGCGGTTCTTCTTAATTGCGCAGATTTTGGTGCCGTTCTGAACATAATGCTGGATTGCACAATTATTTTAGGAGACGTTTGCAAAGTAGGTAAGTGAGCAAAACAGGATACGAAAAAACAGAAAACTTGCAACCCTAGGCTTTGGTATTGCCATGAACTTTTGCACGCCATTGTGAGGGGCCCATATTACCTAAACTGATCAACATTGGGTGAACGCTGGGCGTTGGAACGACAACAAAACGATAGTGTCTATTTTGCACCAAAATCCACCCTAATGTAGTTTGAGAATGTTTGAGTGCAGACCATTTTTGTGCATAGCTCTGAAGACACAATGTCTATTAATATATATATATATAATTGTATGTTAAGAGTTAAGAGTGTTTCTAAGATTTCCAGAGAATTTGTAGAATGAACCAGGACTATTTCAAAAGCATTTGATTCAGCCTAGTAAAGCAACAAATAAGAACACCGACAACCACTTTGCGGGTATTGACAAGACAGACCAGGCTTTCATACAACCCCACTTGGAAATTGCGAGGACATACCTTTGCTTGGCAGATGGGCGAGGCACGATGAGGGTGAATCAAGCAGCACTTGTAACTGATGAGGAAGTGTGATCGCATATCAGGCTGGGTGTATGACCGCAGCAAGCATGACCTTAACAAGGTTTGCAGCCTAGTGTGCAGAGCGGCTCTATCCTTTCTACATATTTCCACAGACTACAAATACTTATCATCTCTTCCCAACATGAAACTCTCGTGTGCTCGGTGCTCTTGGCCTCTTTGAGTGCATTTGCAGCATTCCGTGATGAGGTTGTGGTCAAGGAGGTTTCGCCGTGACTGCAAAGACCGTTCGGCATTGAAGCAAGCACTTCTTTGTTTGGGGCATAGATCACCTGATCACAACTGGGAACTCATCTCCTGGGAGGTCAGTGCTCACTGAACTGCGATTCAGCAAGATTGCACAAGACCATTGTGGGTCAGCAACGTAGGGTGTAACGTTGCAGGAGGTTCTCACAGCAGGGGAGAGCTGTGCCAAAAAGCACGTTGGGTTGTTGCGCTTGATGCACAGCTGCACTGGCGGTTTCTATGGTCTTTCGCATGTGATTGCTGACCGGTGGTCTGTCATTCTTTGATTCATTGCAACCACTCTATCGGCTCGGGATTTGGAGCCCTGATGATGTTCCCAGAACATATGCATACGCGTGGATGGATGGATGGATGGATGGACGGAGGGACGGACGGACGGACGGACGGAGGGACGGAGGGACGGAGGGACGGACGGACGGACGGACGGACGGACGGACGGACGGACGGACGGACGGATGGATGGATGGATGGATGGAGGGAGAGAGAGCGTCAGAGAGATAGCGAGACAGAGGGGCCAGCTGAAGAGACAGGGAGAAAGAGCCATGGAGAGACAGAGAGATTGTTAAGTAGATCAACAAAGTAGATGTGGCTAGATGTAAAGACAGGATAAGCAGATGTGGATATAGATGGATGACGATGGATGTGTAGTGCAGACAGGTCAATGGATGGCTAGTGGAATGAATGGTGAGATCGAGAGATGGAAAGCTAGAGAATGCAACAAAGTAGTTCTAAACATTTTCGGCTGCTGCTGCCTTGCCCTGGCTTTCATCTCATCCCATCTCAGGTTCCTCACATTTTTGTGTGGGGTTCCTATTTATTTGTGTCCAGTCGTCCTGCACTCACTCACTCACTTATGCAATAGGTTTTGTTGTTTTCACCCCATTGTGTTGGCCGGTTCTGCATGAGGAATTCTAGCTTGAACCGTGGGACCGCAAAGCGTCGTGCAATGACAAGTCGATCACCGCAAATGGAGGTTCCAGCGAATGAATCTAAAGAACGGCATGTTCCAACGTACAAACAGTAGTAGGTAAATGAGTTGCAGTGTATCGCTCTATCAGACTACATCACTCAACACCTCGCTCTCCTATCACGTTTTTCAGAGTTTGGACTGCGATGTCCTTAGTTTGGCGGTGAAGCTATATAATATTGGCCTGAATGTAACACGGGCAACCTCCCATGACAAGGTGCCTGTCTGGCCGCCTTCAAGAAGGGTTTGTGTCTAACTCCTTGAAGACTATTTCCACGCAGAACATGTTCCTGAAGTTGCTTGCTCAGTGCCAAACGTTGCTTTCTGACGCTAGGAAAACGCCTATGTCCAAGGTCCTTCTCTCGAGCCTATGTCTCCAGTGCAAGTCCACTGCAACAGCCTTCTGAACGGCCCTCCTCCGCCACACCCTTAACCAATCTATTTCCAGTCCCGAAGGTGCTCGATCAATGTGAACCCTCATCAGGTCCCTCTCTGTGCCCTTACACCCGACTCCCAGACCGGTGTCCTCTGACGCGCTCCCCCACCATCGGCGGGGGTCGGAGAATTCTTCTCAATTTCGCCTCACTGCTGAGCTACTTGCTAGATCTTGCTAGTGTACTTCTTCACTTTAATTGTCCTGGCGCTTGAAACTGGTGATACGGCTGTTCGATGTTTTGGGGTCGGTGTTCGCTTGGCATCCAATCGTAACTTCTTTAAAACATCGTTCCTGTTGAAACGCAAGTCTCCTCCGCTGTTTCAGTATCACTTTGAATTTTGCCCTGTGTTATCTACATTGTTGAATTTGCTATTCCATGTTGTTGAATTTGTGCGCCTTTGCAATCACTACAAACATCAATATCCTCAACCACGCCCTCTTTGCACACAAACATCACACAACATTGTGACTTCAAAAGTATCAGCACCGTCATTGCAATCACAAAGAACGTCCCACCCCACTGTTTCTGAAACAAAGTAATTCGCGAGGCATCTGCATCAGTGTCACAGGCACGCAAAACATGCAGAGCAAATCGGTGAATGATGTCCAAGCAGGCTACAAGAACTAGAACCTATCAAACCGCCGGCTATCATAACCACTTCTACGTCAAGTTGAGTGGATATGATTTTTCTTGTGCCAATTCAGGATTGGATGTTTTTGGAGCAAGTACCGAGTGCTCAAGCATAGAGTATTGATTAGCCAGCCCCGGACAGATGATTCCCGCACTTGCCAATGTCATGAACAGCTTAGCATCTGCTTCAGTGACGGATGTTGCTGACGAAACTTTGGTGTTTCTGATCGTGCTTGCTTCATGTGCTTGCATCACAGCTATCCTTCTGGTGACTTTTGTGGTCTGCTGTAACTGCGTAGTTGTGCCAGTGTGCAAATGCTGTGGAGGCGATTCTAAACATTGGGCACCAGGAGGTTGCTTGGTGTTTTCTATGGTGGGGTTGTGGCTCCTCATTCATGCGACACAGTGTGTCAGCAACGTGCCGCGCCCGTTCTCTCCGACTTTCGTCCTCCAGCCCAGCTTCCAAATAGATGTGGATCTGGATGGTTTTCGACATTTCTGCAGTGCTGATGAACCTTTGCTGTTGAAAGCCAAAGGTCAGATCACAGCAGGCACCGTGACTGTCATTCAGGGTGAATCTGCATCTGGCAAGACAACTTTCGTCAAGTTATTGGCCGGTGAGGGCAACCCACACTCCTGCTTTCAGGGAAGTTTGGCATTCGCCCGAATGCCAAGTGATTTGCTCTACTCGGCATTTGCTGTTGGGACAGCCCAAAACATAACTTACTCTGCAGAACTGCACCGCGTGATGCGAAGACAGGGTATGTACAACCATATCGGGTACATGCCACAAGATGACCAAGCTGGTGTTGTGAGCCAGTTGACCGTAGAAGAGAACTTATTTTTTGCACTTATGTGGCAGCGACCAGAGCTCAGTCCCGTTGAACGGAACAACTTGGTTGAAAACATTCTGGAAGAATTGAAACTTCAGGATGTGAGGGGCTTCAAGATGTTGCATACGGACCAGAAAGGCCAACTTTCTGGAGGGACATTGGAGCGTGCAAATATGGCTCTCAGTCTGATTGGCCAGAGGCCAGTCCTGTTCACAGACGAGCATTCAGCTGGTCAGGGAGAAGATGTGACCAGTGCCAAGGTTCTCCGTGATTATGCATCCCGTGGACGAATAGTGGTGAGCATTGTTCACAGGGCCTCTGACAAAAGCTTCTCTTACGTCGACAACCTGATCCTTTTGTCTGGCAGGGCAAGCAACAAAGAAGGACAAGCCCGCTTGCATAAGAGCGTTGTATTGTATTGGGGAGACGCAAAGAAAGCTCAAAACTATTTTGCAGAGCATGGCTTTGATCGCCTCGATGATGAAACATTATCCGAATACTTTGCGCGCATTTCAGTTTGCAGGGGCTTTGACCTGGACATTTGTGAGAAACATCAGAAGCAGATTCTTGAAGGATTTGCGCACCCCCTTTGCGAAGCTACCAAGAACGATACAGGCAGTGAACAGAGCGAACCTGCTCTGCCAGATAGTCGGGATCAAGTGATCTCGTTTTTGGTCCAAACGTTCACCGCATTCCTCAAATCCCAAGCCATTGGCTTTGGAAATGGAATCAAAGTTCTATTTTGCTTGGATTTTACTTTGGGCCTTTGCCTTTGGTTGAGGTCCCTGAACACTCAGAATGCTTACAAAGTTAGTACAGGCAGCTACCTTATGAATCTGTTCACTCTGATTGTGATGTCAGTTTTTGTCACTGGGTGGATGTCAGTGGAAATGACTCCTTTCATTGAACGAGATCGTCCGCAAGGATTCAGTGAATATGCGTTCTTGCTTGGAAAGGGTGGCTCTATGCTCTTCAGCACCCAGGTACTCGGCCAAATTCACGTTATCATGATGCGAGCTGCATGGAAAATGAAGTTATTCAAGTTGCCAGCACCGGAGATGAATCAGATGAAGTACCACAAGCACTTCAGTCTTTTGTACCTTTACCTTTTCGCCGTGAGCTTTATCATTGGCTGGTTCTTCTTGGACTTCCAAGCCGCTGTCCTCCTGACAATTGTGGTTCACCTTGTTTGGGCAGCTTTTCTGGCAGGCTTTTTTTCCTGAGGCTGCAGATGTGATTGCAGACAACGAAATGGCAAAGCTCTTGATGCATATGTCACCACCATTCTTCATTCTGCGGAGCATCTTGCAAGATGAGCTGAGGAACAAACCTGACAGCTTCTTTGTGCTTGGCCCTGAAGCGCCAACACCAGACGAAAAAGCAAAGCAAGGCAAACAATGCCGCCAAGCCTTCCACGCAAAGTACCAGCTTACTGCAAAGACATGGTCAACTTTGACACACTTGGAAGACGGTGCAAAAGTAGTTCTCTTGCTGCTGGTGGCTTATCAGGCCATAGTCCTGGACCTGGCTCGCCGAGAGCTGCTTTCCTAGAGACTAAGGCCACACTTGAGCCCTCGCATGTTGTATAGCATCCACTTGCAAAGTACAGCTTCCGGCCTTTCGCCGGAAAATATTTTCTGCATATACGGCATGGCCCCCTGAGGTAGTGGATTGATGTCAATTCGTGAAGTGCACAGTGTGCACTGCCATGCCTGCTTCAGGCAGAAACCCTGAGGTGGAAGTTTCGCGTGACCTTGTCGAGACACTGTACACTGACCAGTGATACTGGGAGTCCATGCAGTGGGAGACTCGGCCCTGGTTTCTTAGTGAGATCGTTTTCGGGCCAGCACTAGCGCGGAAGACCACAAGGTGTCGCACCCTTGGCAAAGGCTTGGAGTTCTAAACGTGTCTGAAGAGTGCATGGGGCCGTGGTCTGTCATTGTTTGGTTCATCATAGCATATTGCAGCCACTGTACTGGCTCGGGATTTAGAGCCCTGACGATGTTTCCGAGAACACATGCTTACGCCGCACTCTCACTGTGACACAAAGGATCAGCCTTTTGTGCTACACTGTGCCCGCCTTGAGGTGCTGTTGCTGGGAACCTGAGCAGGCAGAAAGTGTGCGAAGCTGAGCTAGGCACAATGAGATAGTGTTTCACTCGAAAGTCTGTCCTCTCTGAGGTTGTTGACAAATTCCGGGAATCCGAGACCGAGGTCAGTGCGGCTAGATCAGCCACGGAACTGGCATGTCTAAGCTGACTGGAGGAAGATTGGGGTTCTTCTCCGAATTGCCAGGTTGAAACAGTTGTCTGCATCCCAGAAAGCTGCGTCTTAGTGCGTTCCTGGAGTTTGAATGCAAAAGCAGAGGCCTTGCCTGAAGGGGCTTTCGCGACATCCTTGGAGTTGAAGAGTGCATTTTTGCGTTGAAGGATTGTCCCTAAGACGACAACCATTCCTCCCAGGTGGTAGAACTTCATCGAAAAAGACCGTCCCTTGTCATTGGGCTGGAATTGGACAAGATGGATGCCCAGGCCAAAAGTAGTTAACTTGGAGCAGCTTCTGTTGCGACCCCAAATTTGGTGTCGGCTTTGAGTTTGACTTGCTCAGAACCTCATGGTCGTCAAGACACAACCGGGTGGACTGGCGTCCGAGTACAACCAGTCCACATCAAGTGGCCAGGCGCTGGGTGGACTGGTCATTTGGCCACTATAGTGTTTAGTTTAGCGTCACTAGTGTTTGCCTGACGTCTCGTCACACCCGGCCAAAGCCTCTCGGGAGGCCATCCGAATGGGCGATCGAATTTGGAAAGTAAATGGGCAGACTGGAACTGCAGATGCTCCTGGGTGTGAACTTCTACGTACTGTCATTTTGTTTAGACTACCGCAGTGCCATTCTGATATCTTGCGATAGTTGTGCCCGAGTCGGACAAGTACTGCACCATGTGTGACCTTTGAACATCTTTGAACTATTTTTTGACCTCGATTGTATAGCTAGTATTTCAAGCGCACCCAATTCCAAGGAATTGCTGACCATGCTGGCAGCTGAATCGAGGCTACAGCTGGAGATTCATCGCTGCCAGGAGCGGTCAAGCGCTGCCAGATTCCACTCAGGATCTTATATAATTACTCGTTTGTGAGATGTCAGGAGAAAGAATTTCACATCGAAAAGAAAGGAAAGTCGTAACTTTGATCCAAATAAGCAGGCTAAGAGTCTAAGAGCAATGTGAAAGCACTAAGATGTTGCTTCCGTTCTGAGGCTGGGTCTCCAGCTGGCCGTCACTGAGAAGGCCAAAAACCATCATTCCCACTGGACATTGCCATCCCTTCTTGGACCAACCTTTCCATTTGATCGAACAATCAAAGATGCTCTACTTTCAGAGCTAGGTAGCTCTGACCAACCAGCGTCGTTTTGCAAAAGGCCTGCTGCCTAACGGTGGAGAAGATCAGTGCCGCTGGAGTGGTTGCCGCGTTGAAGCTTGGATGGCAATTAATCTAAGACTAAGATTTTGTCATGATTTATCATGATTTATCTAATGCTTACGACATGTTTCTTCCCTTTCGTCAGGCTCTTTTTAAAATCTAGTGTTGCTTTCTTTTCGAATGTGGTGTTTCAGGAATGAACACGCTGCTCCCGATCGACAGATTAGAGTTCATGATAAGATCATCTCTGTTGATGGAGTCCGCGGACTTGCAGCTTGGCAGAGAATCGACTCAGAGAGTCCTTGTGTAAGAAAGATCACAATGAGCGCAATGTGTTTCAGTAACCCAAGGCACCTGAGTTGATGAAGCATATAAAGGATCGAACGATTGCCTTGTGCAGTGCTGCAACGTTTCTGCGACACCGCGCTTTCAGATGGTGTTTCCACAGGAAAAGGATTCCTTCATCCTCAAGGTCTTGACCTGGGACGTGGATTCAGTTGAGCAAGTTAAAATGGATCAGTTCTGAGAGGCTTTTTTTCGTCAAGCTCGATGTCTCAAAATAGCATACAGTAAAATAGCTTTAAATGCAGATAGGTCAGGGCAGGCTTTTCACCACTGTCACAGCAAACGAAACGCACGAACCACATCAGTCGCATTCTTGCAGTTTCACACTAGCACCGGTGTCAAAGAAGCACCTCGGCGCACACAGGGTCTTGGCATTCTGTGCTGTGAAACAGTGCGTAGGTCCATCTCTTCCACACGGATTCAAATCTTTCAAGAGCAATGAAGAGCAATAAGATGCAAGAAGCGTTAACTTCGCAGTCATCCCTGCAATGGTTTGTTCCCTACACACTATTCATCGACTTGTACAGCTTGCTCCAAGACAGCTTACGAAGGAGACATCAGTGCCATAGGATGGGCAAAGGTCGGATCTCTTTGCGAGAATCAGAAAATGTTGTATTGAAAGTTGGAACAGGTCAGCACCAAAACTTTCATCTTTCGTGATGCCTGCTTGACCGTGCTTGACAATGGGCTGCGGCTGCATAAAGGCTGAAGGCACAGGCACATCCGCCATTGAAGGCACTTCTACTATACTCTGGGACTGTGTGTTGCAAGGCAGCCATCCAGATACTAGCCCCTTCCTTGGTGCCTACCGATGACAAAACTTTGGTGAGGTGAATTCTTCAGCAAAAGGCTGAGCTGTCATTTTAAGGCAATGACCAGAAGCTCGCACAAAAGCTGCAGAGAGAGGAGGACTAGAGCCTGCGGTGACCAAGCTTTGTGCAATTGTGGAACGTGCACTTTGAATCGAACAGAGTCAAACAAGCGGTTGGCAGAATCAGAGTGCCAAGGTTCATGAAGTAGTGCTCATAGTCTGTACCATGGCCCAAAGACTTGGCTTGAACGGGTTTCGTGCGGATCTCTCAATGAGGCCTTTGTAAGGATAGGATGAACATCCCCAGAAAAGGAGTTTTGACCGTGGCAGGTATCCCAAAACTAGGGGCACGATCACTATTTAACTTGTTACATTTATGTTTCCTCTTGTAACTGTGGAGTCGGGGTCAGTTTCTGGCACCAATTAGCACCAGGAACGAAGGGCACGTGAAGCTCGTGCAGCTCCCAAGCCCAAGGCCAACTGGCAGTCTGCCGGCAGTGGCCGTTCCTTGGGAGGCCAAGGCCAGGGTTTTGCTTTGACTCGTTACAAGGCCCTTGTATTGGTATAGTCCGTTGAGTATGTTTGAGTCTTATCGTCCAGTCCCTTATTCAAGGCCCTCCAGGAGAGCTTGGAAGAGACACTTCAACTTTAAGTGCTGAAGAAAAAAGACAACTGGCGCTTGAGGCACGAGAGTGTTTGCAAGAGCGGTTGAATGCTGGGATACCCAGCGTCCCAGAGCAATTGTTTTACTTGGCACATGTCATGGGTGATTCTTGGAAGAGTAGGAGCAAAGGGCATCGCCACTGGGGGCTCCTGGCCGTACTACTAGGAACAAGGACGCTACTAGGGGCTCCTGGCCATACTACCAGTAACAATTATGAACAAGAACAAGGAGTAGAGGTTCCCCTAGCTTGCTCAAGCCCAGACTAGCTCTGTGCACTGAGAGGCCGCCGAACGGCGGCAAAACCAAGTGGCTGGTGTTTCAGAGAAGAAGGACCGGCCCCTTATATGTTGATGCCTGTTTGAAGATCAAGGGTTTGGGGCATTGGCGCTGACTTGTCTCTCGAGGTTCAGGAGATGAGGCAAAAAGAGCAAAAAGATGCACTCCTTGGCAAGCTGGTGTGCGACCCAATTTGTTGTGGATTTGGTTCATGATTTCAAACAAAACACAACCGAGCACGTGAAAGTGATGGGGGATAAACAGGCGGAGCACTATGCCCGTCAAAAGCTGACATCTCAGACTGCATCTCAAACGTGGAATGACCCAACACCTTTATCCAATATTTGGAACATACATCATACATCTGACATTTCTCACGGCAGACAAGATGTTGCCATGCCCCCAGTATGCCTTCCCGTGTATACGTAGTCACGGATCTCTGCCTCTCTCTGTCTCAACTTCAATCTGCGGTTTGTAGGCCTACTAGCGATGGACAATTCCGACATGAGAGAGATTTACCATGTCCTTTGCGAGCACAAGAAGTTCGCAGTTGCTCAAAGTCAAAGGGTTTCAATTTTTTATCCAATGCTGCATGCTGAGGTTGGACATGCCAATGGGCCTGAACGCTGCTTCCGCTTTTGCCCAAGACCAGTTTGGTTTGGACCTATATAATTTAATCTCACTCGTGGCTGAGGTCGAGCAGCTGAAACAACATTGGGAGACTGTGAGGAAAGATCGGGGTAGAGATGATGCAATTCTACAGTCATAAGACATTTTAGTGGCATGCCAATGCGCACTGCCTCTACGTCCAAACTCTCAAACTCAAATTTGCTACACAAAGACTGAAGAGGTTCTGCGCTTGCATTGCTTGCCTTGCATTACAATATATACAAAGTTTCATTCATAAATGGTTTAATATTGATGGTTACATACTTGTGGGCTCAAGTTTCGCAAAAGATACGTATCATTTACAATGTACGCAAAATGACCCGAACAAATCCATTTACGAGGGAACCTGCAAATCTACCGCAACAAGCAGTATAAGTTGTGAAGATGAGGCTGTTTGTGGGCGCATATGCAAATTCGTACCTTTGCAATTCCAATCGTGGGAGGGGGTGCCACTGCTGCATCAAATTGAGGTGTCCCACCGCACAAAGCGAGAGCAGTGCCGATGGAAGATGTCCGGCCCGGAAGCTCTGCGTCCAGTTCCAGCCGAGCTCCTCGCGCCAAAGGCTTGCGTCGTTTGGCGCTTCTGACGCTCACGGGTCTCGCAATACCTCGGCAGACTTTCCTTGCGCCTCGTAACGTTGCGAGACTTGCAACACCTGACCCATCTGTGCAACTTGCGTACAAGGAAGGGAGAGGCGACGATTTTGTTGAGGAGGATGAAGATGACTTGGAAGAAATTGATATGGATACAATGTCCTCGTTTGCTTCTGACAAGGATGATGCACCTTCACGCTTTAAGCCAGACATGGATCAGAAGTTTAAGCGAACTGGCTTTTTCGATCGGAAAGATCTTTCTCGGCTGGATGTGTCAGAGTTCGACAAGAATGGTGCTTTGCGAAAGCTGTCGATCGAGCAGCTGGAAGCACGTTTGGAGAAGAGATATCAAGCCTCTACACGTGCTAAAGTTCTACCAAAGCGTTCGGAGGAGGCGGTGCCAAAGGTCCCGACAGAGAGCCGTCAAAGTGATGTTGATGATTTCGATCTCTATTGGAAGCCACCAATGCGAAAATTGCGACCTGCACAGCCACGACCAATGCCAGCTCAGTCTGGCATGCAGAAGTGGGAACCAGTGGAACTGTCTCCACCAATGAAACCAGAAGAGGAGGCTAAAAGCGCTAAAGGGAGACCGGGAAGTGAATGCCTCAGCATCTTTGGACACTCCTTGGTTGAGAGAGGGCTCTTTTTTGAAGCCCACTCCTCCTTGTATAATTAAGTATATAGGCGCCACTATCAATAGGCTACTTTACTAGGCTAAGTTAGCCTCTAGGTAGGACGCCGGATACCTCAAGGAAGCTCCCCCCCGCCTGAGGGCGTGGGGGAGCTTCCTTGAAGAAGCTCTCACACTAATGAGTTGGTTCCTAGTAGCGTCCGATCGCTCCTAGTAGTAAGGCCAGGAGCCCCTAGTAGCGTCTTTGCTCCTAGCAGCGATGCCAGGAGCCCCTAGTAGCTTCTAGCCCCTAGAGATTTGGTTCCTAGATTTTGTGGAAAATTAAGTTTGCAAATCCGTGCTGCTGTAAGCACATTCATTCTTCTTGCCGCTCATCCTGAGGCTTGCAATCTTGGCTTTTGACCGACCAGGAGAGCATGATATACTGGATTCCAGCTCACTCTCCAAAATGAACTTGGAACTTGAGCCATGTTGAAACCAACCTCTCTTGATCTACTTCCGTACCCGCAAGGCCAGACCCAGAAACCAAGCAGCAAAGGAAGAGAAGCAGAATTCCAAAGTGCCAGTGACTGAGGGAGCGGGCTTTGGGCCTCTTTGGGCCTTTTGCCGTGTATGCGACAAATTGGACGTACCCTAATATGATGGAAATCCATTTCCAGGTAGCTCAATACCATCAATACCAAAGACCACCGAACTGCGGTAGCTTGATCTCCCTAGTGGATCCAGTAGTCTACTTGTTTATACTGGAGAGTCGGCCAGAATTGCAGGGTTTTGTCCCATCCATGCTGCAATAGTGGCTTGGGCTTAGTTGAGCAGCGTCAAAAACCTCTCACAAACAGGGTAACTAAACTTGTAAACTCGAACTTGCCAGCGGAAGCCAAAACTGCAGTCGCGGAAGCTTGCGGAAGCCATTGCGTAAGCACATGGTAAAACTATGATTCTATTTTCTTGATTCTTGATGATGTTCCATTCGAGCAGTATTTAGCATACACCTTCTGAGTTATATATATAATATTAATATATATATATGCGTATGCTTTTTGCGTCAATACATATGCTTTTTGCTTTTGTTGATTTAGATGTAAGTAGCCTTGTGAACGCAGGAGCAGAGATTTGAAACTTATACCCTCAAACAGTGCTGGGACAGCTGATCGCTTGCTCACAGTATAGTTTTTGTCGTGTTGCCATTTCTTCAGGGACTGCTATGGGATAACAGAGTAGACCGGTTTTCGACACCGCTCAGTTGAAGCAATTCGTGAGCTGATACGAAAACGGGCTGACAGCCTAAAGGTGAAGGTGTCACGAAACGTGTGAGCTTTGACATGTTTCAACAAAAGATAGATGTAGATCTCAAATGCATTGCCCCTACAGCATGAACAAAACTGCGAGGGTTGAGCTCATCTCGCTCCAAGGTCAAACTCCAAAGACCGAGTTGGCAATTCAAAGTTTCGAAAGATGTACAAGGCCAAGAAATATGCAAAGAAACAGTGTCAATTGGAACCAATACTCGTACTGCATCGTCACTGGCATGCGATCCCTTGGGTACGATGCCATGTTCATCCGTGTTCACGTCGGATTTGACATGCGACGCACTTCCGTGAGGCTGTGATGCGAAACTACTCCGCTTTGCCTTGGGATCGTCTCAATCCTGGTACATAGGTTGAAGGATTGCAGATTCCAAGATCTTGTCAGAAATTGAACTGTAGGTGTTGAAGGGCAAACAAGCTGGTTGGATCCAGCAAACAAGACCTGGCAGGTCAGACCAGGGAAGCAGTAGCAGACAGCGTGCACTACAGGTGTAGTCAATGCATCACCTGTCTTCGAAAGCATATATGAGGAGTTGGGCATGTGCTCAGAAGAAAGCCGGGAAATGTTGGAGTTGGCATCCCAGAACAATATTTGCCAGAGGAAGTTCCAAGACGTTCTCTCATAGATGCACAACTAAGGCTCATGGCAGAGTTGGGAGTGTACTTTGCTCAGAAGTTGGGAGTGTCCGGCAGGAAAAGCAGTTTCAGAGAAGAGCTGAATGAATGGTACTGAATGACTGGTTCTTAGGCACACTCCCAACAGATTGCAGGGACTAGCATTGCCCGAAATAATTTCAGTTGGGAACTCAAACGGACTGGATACTGGCAGTTTAAAACCATGCAGTTTGTCGTTTTGTTTGATTTATTGTAAGCATTGTCTTGATTCTGCAAAAACTAGCAGACACAACTCACCTCAAGCAACCACACAGGGCTCAGTCAAACGCCACTTACGGAAGTTAACGATGAAGCTGTTGAGAAAGCCTTCATGGGCACAAATTGGAAAGCCAATGAACGCGTCTTCATGCACTAAAGTCACTAAAGCCAAGGGAAAGGACGTGATGCTGACTTCAACCACCGGATCTGGCAAAACACTGGCCTTCTTGCTGCCACTGCTCAGTCCCAAGATGTCCCAAGCAAAGCTGCAAGTGCTGCTCGTGCCGCTCACAGCTTCGCCTCCAAGGCTGGAGCGGTTCATCCTTCCACTGGCGAAGACTGGTCTCTCAAGGCGGACAACATGGAGCAGATAGGCCACGTCATGATATAAATTCGAAAACAATAGAAATCGATTATACACATAATATGTATCATTACTATTACAGTATCACACATGTAAATATAAATGTGCTTTATAACAATAATTTACATCATTTATCAATGTCTTTGTTCTGGACAGTCAGAAGTCTTCGCTTCCGCACCATTTGGCGCCCAAGATCTTGTCCAAGCCAGAGCCTGAAAGGATATTGTCACTGACAGCAGACTTTTGCACACGTTGAAGGTAAACTATAATCGTGTCTCTATCTTACTGACTCAGTGACGGTGAGTTCTCCAAGGCCCAGAATTTTGGTGGTGGTGCTCGCCTTACTTCATACAAATACCCTCGTTGTGACGCGCTTGAAGCTGCAGGCACCCGGCCGCGAATTGTCTCAACAAACAACGCGTGGCGCTGGCTTTTTATATGTAGTTTCGGCCACACTTGGTGGCGGCTTGAGAACGTCGTACCCTTTTGTGTTTCTTGCATTTCCCGTGCAGGTGTTATCCTCGATTTGCTGAACCCTTTTAGTCCTATGTTGAACGTCACCAATCTGGTGGGGAAAGATAACCACAAGCGCCAGGCAGAGTGGAGTTAAGTTGACCCAGTTGACATTTCGACTTATTTTCAGCAGATCTGATCTGATCTGATGCACTGGGCTTTTTGTATCAGGATGAAGCCCTGAGAGACAGGCTTGGAACTTGAGAGCAGATGGAGCTATATAGTTCGTCCTGGAGTCTAAACAAATGTTTTCACATGTGCTCACCAAACTAAGGCAGCCAGTCATTGTTGTGGGCACTCCTGGAAAGCTGATGGACCATGCGATGGAAGGCTTTGTTTGCTTTAGGAGTAGCGTCCGTGCTCCTAGTAGTAAGGCCAGGAGCCCCTAGTAGCGTCCTTGCTCCTAGTAGCGATGCCAGGATCCCCTAGTAGCGTCCTTGCTCCTAGTAGCGATGCCAGGAGCCCCTAGTAGTGTCCTTGCTCCTAGTAGCGATGCCAAAAGCCCCTAGTAGCGTCCTTGCTGCTAGTAGCGATGCCAGGAGCCCTTAGTAGCGTCCTTACTCCTAGTAGTAAGGCCAGGAGCCCCTAGTAGCGTCCTTGCTCCTAGTAGCGATGCCAGGAGCCCCTAGTAGCGTCCTTGCTCCTAGTAGCGATGCCAGGAGCCCCTAGTAGTGTCCTTGCTCCTAGTAGCGATGCCAAAAGCCCCTAGTAGCGTCCTTGCTGCTAGTAGCGATGCCAGGAGCCCTTAGTAGCGTCCTTACTCCTAGTAGTAAGGCCAGGAGCCCCTAGTAGCGTCCTTGCTCCTAGTAGCGATGCCAGGA